ACACACACAGACCCTATAGAACCCCAGGGTCAGACCCTATAGCACCCCTGGGGTCAGCTCGTGTAGCACCCCCAGGGTCGGACCCTATAGCTCTGCGGGATCAGATCCTATAGCTCCCCAAGAGCAGACCCTGTGGCTCTGGGGGGGTCAGATCCCATAGCTCCCCGAGAGCAGACCCTGTGGCTCTGGGGGGGTCAGTCCCTATAGCCCCCCAGGATCAGGCCCCATAGCACCCCGGGATCAGCCCCTATAGCTCCCCAAGAGCAGACCCTATGGGTCTGTGGGGGTCAGATCCTATAGCTCTATGGGATCAGCCCCTATAGCTCCCCAGGATCAGACCTTATAGCTCTGTGGGGTTCAACCCCTATAGCACCCCAAGAGCAGACCCCATAGCACCCCGGTATTGAACCCTATAGCTCTGTGGGGATCAGCTCCTATAGCACCCCAGAGTCAGACCCCATAGTGTCCCAGGATCAGCCCCTATAGCACCCCTGGGGTTAGACCCCATAGCATCCCAGGGGTACCCCCTATAGCTTCCTGGGACCCCTGTAGCCCCTATAGCACCCCACCATGGGGTCACCCCTTATGATCGGATCCCCTGGAATCCCCCCCTATAGCTCTGTGGGGATCAGCCCCTATAGCTCCCCAGGATCAGACCTTATAGCTCTGTGGGGATCAGCCCTTATAGCACCCCAGAGTCAGACCCCATAGCATCCCAGGGGTACCCCCTATAGCTTCCTGGGACCCCTATAGCACCCCCAGGATCCCCTATATCTCCATGGGGTCACCCCTGTGATAGGACCCTACGTCTCCCCTGGAATCCCCCCCTATAGCTCTGTGGGGCTCAGCCCCTATAGCACCCCAGAGTCAGTCCCGATAGCACCCCTGGGGTTAGACCCCATAGCATCCCAGGGGTACCCCCTATAGCTTCCTGGGACCCCCGTAGCCCCTATAGCACCCCAAGGATCCCCTATATCTCCCTGGGGTCACCCCCTGTGATCGGATCCCCTGGAATCCCCCCCTATAGCTCCGTGGGGATTAGCCCCTATAGCCCCCCAGAGTCAGTCCCGATAGCACCCCTGGGGTTAGACCCCATAGCATCCCAGGGGTACCCCCTATAGCTTCCTGGGACCCCCGTAGCCCCTATAGCACCCCAAGGATCCCCTATATCTCCCTGGGGTCACCCCCTGTGATCGGATCCCCTGGAATCCCCCCCTATAGCTCCATGGGGCTCAGCCCCTATAGCTCCCCAGGATCAGACCTTATAGCTCTGTGGGGATCAGCCCCTATAGCACCCCAGAGTCAGACCCCACAGCATCCCAGGGGTAACCCCCATAGCTTCCTGGGACCCCTATAGCACCCCCAAGATCCCCTTTATCTCCCTGTGATAGGACCCTACGTCTCCCCTGGAATCCCCCCCTATACCTCCATGGGGCTCAGCCCCTATAGCTCCCCACAGCCCCGATGCCGGGCGAGGTGTGTGTGTGTGTGTAAGGGGGGGGTCCTGACCCACTGCACCCCCTTTTTTCCGTGTTCCCCCCCCCCAGAACCAGCGGGACCCGATGGCCCTGGACAAGATCATGCGGGACCTGGACCAGAGCCGGGACGGGACCGTGGGCTTCCAGGGCTTCTTCTCGCTGGTGGCCGGGCTCACCATCGCCTGCAACGACTACTTCGTGCGGCACATGAAGCAGAAGGGACGGAAATGAAGTTTTTTGGGGCTCCCCCCCACCCCTCAACTACTACACTGCAGCTTCCCCGTTTTTTGGGGTCACCCTCCCCATCGTGGGCACTTTGGGGTCCCCTGTCCCCCTGGTGTCCCCCCAGGTCCCCCCAGGTCCCCATCTCCCTGGTGTCCCCCCATCTCCCCGTCCCCTTGGGGTCCCCCCAGTGTCCCCCCAGTTCCCTGTCCCTCTGGGGTCACTTTGGGGTCCCCATCCCCCTGGTGTCTTCTGTCCCCCCAGTGTCCCCCCCAGGTCCCTGCCCCCCTGGGGTCCCCATCACCCTGAGGTCCTTGTCCCCCCAGGGTCCCCCCCGGCCACAGGGGCTCTGAGGGACCCATGGGGGGCTGCACAGGGGGCTATAGGATCTAAAGGACCGTATGGGGGTGTATAGGGGCTGTTTGGGGGTCTATAGGGCCCACAGGGGGCTGTGTGTTGATGTGTAGGGGGTCTATAGGGTGTGTAGGGGATATATAGGGCCCACAGGGGGCTGTATGTCGGTGTGTAGGGGGTCTATAGGGTGTGTAGGGGATATATAGGGCCCACAGGGGGCTGTATGTCGGTGTGTAGGGGGTCTATAGGGTGTGTAGGGGATATATAGGGCCCACAGGGGGCTGTATGTCGGTGTGTAGGGGGTCTATAGGGTGTGTAGGGGATATATAGGGCCCACAGGGGGCTGTATGTCGGTGTGTAGGGGGTCTATAGGGTGTGTAGGGGATATATAGGGCCCACAGGGGGCTGTATGTCGGTGTGTAGGGGGTCTATAGGGTGTGTAGGGGATATATAGGGCCCACAGGGGGCTGTGTGTCAGTGTGTAGGGGGCCTATAGGTTGTGTAGGGGATCTATAGGGCCCCTAGGGGGCTGTACATCCGTGTGTAAGGCCTGCAGAGGGCTGTACAGGCACATATAGACGGCTGTACGGCCCGCCCAGGGCTGTATAGAGACGTATAGGGTGGCTGGAGCTCCACGGAGAGCTG